GGTTCACATTTGTTGCCGCCTGCGGAGTGCGCGGCGCAAGCGTCTCGCAGTTCCCGTACAGACGAGAGCTGTCGACACTTCCCGAACCTCCTCCTTGCCCGCGCGCTTCTCGTCGCCATCGTCGCCAGCTCGTCAGCGGCGATGTCACGTTAGCAAGCGCCACTTCTCCCGTGCGTTCCGATTGGCTTGCGGCGAGAGAAATCTTTTTTTTCCGGCGTTCAAAATTGGTCCCAGAGCGAACACAAGCGTCGCTGCGGTCGCCGCGCCCTGATTGAGTGAGGTGTACCCTGACGTCAGGGGGATGACTCCGCTCCGCGATCTCGCATCGGCTCGCTTCCCAGCACCGGTTTCCTGGTTTGGCGTTGTGTGCCGCAAGCTCTTCGAGGAGCTGGACTTCGTTTACCTGGTGTACAAGACGTCGAGTTAGGCCGATATTGACGTGCTTCCGTACATTTTGTAAGCCTGCTTGTCCCTTTTATCCTTAAAATCGGGTTACAAATCCCGAAAGCTATCGGCGGAGGCAATTCCTTCGATAAACCTTTCCGTCCGTCTACACGACACAAGGCAATTTTGCGAGGGATCGGTGAAGCAGTGGCGCAAGTGTTTCAGACGCCGGAATTCTGTTCCTTGCATGTTCATGATTTAGGACGATATTATCCCGCTTTCAAGGCATTTTAAGTGGCATTTACATCATGGGCGTTTGGGTGGTCGGCAAATTAGCTCGCGACTCCTACTTTGCCCTGCCACTCTGCATGCGCTGGTTCGGAGATGTATTAAAGGCCCTGTGTCTGATTATTTTGGAAGCGCTCGTGGAAAAGGGTTCTTTTACATAAATGTAGCGTCTTCGTGAATGAATTATACAGTTTATACACGTATGCAGGCGTATTTCTGCACAATTAATGGAAATAAGTTTGTATGGTAGCAGCAAAAACGGTCAAATTGTCTCCAGTTGCCTGTATGATATGTATTGAACTGCCCAAAATATGCGCAGCAATAGTGCCGTAATTTGGAATGTTTGTACTGCTCCTGACATTTTTATTCCAGTCTTGGGTATTCGGAAAATACACCGTTTAGTCTGAACTATCGTTTCCAATTAAAAGAAACACTGCGGCAGGTCTCATAAAGCTTCCGCAGCCTCGAAACTCCCTACAGCTGTGCTCTCTGACAAAAGAGGAAAGCAAGAGTAAAAGCAAGCATTCGAACGTTCCAGTGGTAGAGGCAGCACTAGTAGCAGACCATGTTGAACCTGTGAAGGGCGACAGTCTGCGTGAGAAAAGCTTCTGATATTTTAGCTTCGGAACAATTCAATTTCAGTAAAATCTCAATTTTAGAGCTTAATGGACTAATAACGAGCTAGACACCTTCGCTTATGTTTGTTATGCATTACTTGAGGGTTTATATAAACAAGTCTACAGATACCACCCGTGTAGTCCATTGAAATACTATCCGAATCCAGCAAAGGTCAAATGCGAGCAATTGTATATAATAAATGTTCCTTGTATTTTTGCTTTGCCTCTACACTGGGGCTGTCTTACTTGTGATTCTCTCCCCATGGCCTAGACTGTATTTAGCGTGTTGCTGGAGCAGCATACAGCTTTTCTGCTTCGGCGATCTTGTTAAAAAACAGAGATACAAAAAAATAGTATACATAATCTGCCAATTTATTCAGACCATCAGCAGCATTTATTGTGCGAGATGTAGATCTATAATGATGCTCCTGCAATTGTGGCCATATTTCTTTATTTTCATATACCAGCTGCGATTCATGCGTTGCCTGCCCTGTCAACCATGCTTGAAATGTCGGTTGAAATTTCGCCTGTAGCTACAGGCCATACCTCAATAAAGGCACATATAAAAATTTACACTTCCTTCGGAAAACACGCCAAAAAGAAAATAAATAGAAACGGGCGCGCCGACAGCTAGCGTCGTCACAGCCTCCACAGGGCCAGCGGGGCGAATCGGGGAAAACTTCTCTCCTCGCCGTGACGTCACCCCGGTTTGCCGTAAGGGGACGCCACGCGAAATTCTCGGGGCTAATTGCTCTTCGCCAGAAATTCTGACTGCTTTCGTCGCCGGCGTCACAACTCTCGCGGATCCGGCAGCAGGTTCGCAAGAGTGAACGAGGCATAACATATGCGATTCTGCTTGCAATTGTATGTGTCCTCCTTTGTGTCGCATACGGTTGCAACGCCGTGCCAACGGCCTTGCAACTGAAATCGCAAGTCGAATCAAACTAAACATTAAGTAAAAAGTACTAGGCAAGTGCTGCGATATTTGACTCACTCTGCTTCAAGCACGATAGAAAAGTACAGCACGCGTGTACACTAGGATGGCAAGAACGAATCCCGGACAAAAGCTCACCGGACAAAAGCTCACTGGACAGAAGCTCACCGTACAAAAGAACACCGGAGAAAAGCTCACCCAATTTTTCGCAGAACCGAACAAAAGCTCACCGGAAAAAAATTAATGTTGGTCGTATCAGGAGTGCAGACAACTAGGTACATGCGTGCGGCACTAAAATGCAATAATAAATAAAATCTGAGTGGCGCATGGTTTGTTTATTAGAGTAGAAAAAAGTTTATTTATCGATTGATTATATGCGAATGCTATTCACACAGCTTCCAAACGCTTAGATGGGCGTAGCCGACAGGCTTCTAAAATCCGGTATTCAAACCTTCGCAGGTGTTGTTGGTGCAGTCTTTATCTTTAAGAGTGGCGTCGTACGAATTCCACCGTTTCGGGTGACACTCTGGTCGTCGTCGGTGCACAATCAGGCAGAGGGAAACATTCACTCTGGGTGCCGCCGAAGAAGGAGCAGAAGCATAACGGAAGGGGCCGTTGACATATACGTGCAAGGAAAGTAGTACAGCAAGTCGCCGATGTAACCGGTAGACTTTTCCGTGATGTAGGCTAGTCCTTCGGGCACAACCTATGGCGGAAGGAACACCGGCCTACCTAAAATCCCGTACAGCTTTCTAACTGGGTCATCTCTCTTGTACTTGTCGAAAAAGCCCAACTGCCGTTCCTTCAAAATATATTTAGAAATTCGCAACTCAATGGTGTGCATATTACAGTTTTTCTTCAGTTTCCATTTCACATCACCTGAGATAATCCTTCATTTCATATACATTTTCGACGCTCTGTGTGGGAAAGAAATAATTTTCCTTGCCATTCACTTCAAATATTAACCTGAACCCCAAGAAAACCCATGTATTAATAATGAAGAAACATTATGCCTAACATTCATGCGCGCGTTTAGCGTGAAATAAGCGCAGTAAAAAAGCGAGGTCACCGGAGAGGGACTTCGCTTTTTCGCTCAGTCTTCGGGTTCAAAATGTTCGTTTCACGAAGATTCTTGGGCGTGGAACAAGGGTCCTATTCAAGCAAGCTTGATCTTATCAGCTCCACTCAGTTTAGGTGACCGAAATTTTGGTCCCAAATCATTGCTTCTCTGCCAGTTGTGACTTACCTTTCGACACCTTTGCAAGGGATGGGATGCCAGGTCTCCTAAAAATGGTGCAATGTCCATCGCGTCCGCATTTTATCCCAGCCCCTGTCACGCCCGGCTAGCAAGAAAAACTGAGGTGAGCTTTTGTCCGGGTTCGTGAAAAAACGGGTGAGCTTTTGTCCGGCGAACTTTTGTCCGGCTACCGGAAAGAACAAGTCAATGAAACAGTCAAACAATCACGGCCTCATATATCACGTTCACGGGCTGCGGCTTGCGACAACCTAAATCAAAAAGCACCGCTGTTGAGGAGAGAAGTACGCGCATCACTACGTCGCTTCATTTGGGTCACGATATCCGCTGACTTTCTCTATGCCAGGTTTATTGAAACAAAGTGAAGCTTGTGGTTCTCCACCGGCAATTCGCTCTTCGCATTACTAAATTCATGCCATTGAAATTACTGTTGACGTTGAAGCACGTACTGAAGCGTGAAAACAAAAAGGGGAGAGGGGAAGTACCTCCCATTTTCTCCGTCTCAGTTTGTGCCATCGCTGTAAGGTTACCTTTTCGACTCAGAATTATTATGGTAGCAAAGTGTGACCATACAGACTCACAATTTCTATCGTGGATTTCGGCAAAGATCCTGGAATATTTCTGCTTTATATTGACTTTTTTCAAGAAAGTTCACAGAAAGTGTAGCTGGTTGAGAGTGTTGGTTTCTAATTTACCATAAGAAAAGAGGGGCATTCAAGACAAACATACAACACAGGCTTTCGACTTTCAACTGAACGTTTGCTGGTTTGACTTCGCCTATCGCCTCCCGAGGCTTGACGGGGGCGTCGGGGCGGTGATTTTTTCTATGCCAGGGGCAGGGCCCCGTGACTCACGCTTCTCAAACCCCACTGCCCTCCCTATCCACCTCCCCGACTTTCTCGTCGAGCTTCGGGAGGCAAAGTCAAACCAATAAATCTTTTGTTTCAAGTCAAAAGCCTGTGCTATCTGTTTGTCTTGAATGTCCCTCTTTTCTTATCGTAATTAACAAAAAAGGGAGCTGGTTCAGGTTACCCAAACGTAAAACCGAAGGCAAACGGAGGACAAAATGGCGACAGACACACCTGTATCAACACATGGAAAATGACAAAAACCCAAAGACTGCGAGTTATAAAAATGAAACAAACACTGAAAGGTCTCAATATCAGACCTTCCATTGGTTTTGTAGTTTTGTAACATACAGTATCGGCTCTTTTTTGTCATTTTCAATATACACCTGCTTCTAGCATACCTACATTCAGCTGTCTGAACACGTCTTTTTTTTTTTTTACGAGAAAACTTGGATAGTAGCTAAAGAGGGAATTATAATTTGATTACCATATATCCTTTACTCTTTGCATTCACATACGAGGGTGTGCATAAAATAGCTAATATAAAAAGAACGACAGATATTTAAAGAAACAAGTTTGGTGCGATCCAGAGTTTTGGCACAGATTAACCGTTTCCGTGTACTGATGATCCCTTACGTAGGCAGTTATGCCACTTTCATTCAGGGTAACCGATCGCCCAAATAGCTCAGTTGGGTGAGCGTTGGACTGATGATCTAAAGGTCCCTAGTTCGATTCCGGGTTTCGGCACGACTTGCATTTTTTACACACAGTATCCGGAAAAATGGCCGAGGAGCGTGGTTGGTCACAACTGAGAAATAGAGAAGATAAGCAAGATGCGTTTTATTTTCCTTATTATTGTTCTATTCTCGATGGGTCTGAGGTCATGCAGTCTAGCGTACGAGTAAAGCGAAAAGTTATATTCATTTATTTTCAAGATCAAATATATATTGTTTTATTACACAAATCAGATTTATTTCATTGAAGCCCAATTAGTTTTACTTAAATCACTCTAGTCACGAAAATTCCAATAAAATCAATCTCTGACCAAAGAAAGCAATAGAAAAGAAATAAATATTACATACTTGACCTGTTAAACTGTTGTTAGATTAATCATTCATTTATTAATATATACCCAACCATAAAAACATATTACATTATTTCTTTGGGAAAAAAATTACTTTTATTCCGTTTTCATTTGTTTGCAATGTGTCCTTACTTTTCTTGTAATCTTTCCTATTCTGACTCGCTTTTATCCGAACATTGTGTAACTGAGGAATCAAGTGCAATATAGAAAGGAAGCTCGCTATGATTTGCTCAGAGGATCTCCACTTTGTGTTCCTGTACAGTTTGGTACGAGTCTCTCTTGTTTGATGATTAATTAATTGATACATCAATCATCACAGTGAGCACCAAATACTTAACAGACGGAACATATTTTGAGGGTCCTTTGCCGATAAAGCTTGGTTTAAATCATTATAGTGCGATTTCTATGACGTGCGATTTCTTGGAGAATTTAAATCATTATATCAACAAACATATGAATCATCCGCCTCCATTTGAAACAATATTCGCACACCTCCAGTAGATTTAAAAGATTGTTGCATACCTCGAGTAAACAAAAGTGGAAAAAAAAAAAACTGGAAGTTTTGCCGAAACCCGGGATCGAACCAGGGACCTTTAGATCTCCAATCTAACGCTCTCCCAACTGAGCTATTTTCTTTTTCTTTGTTAAACAACTGAGCTATTTCGGCCACGTACTAAAGTGCAAATCGCAGCACTTTACCAGCGAGGCGGTATGAACGCGGAGACTTGTATGAACCGCTGCTTCCAAGATATTCTGGTTGTCCGGTATTGATTGGCCAGCCCAACATGTGAAGTATGCGGGAGTTCTCTCCAGATACTGACATGTGCCTCGGTAAGTTGTGGCTGGTGGATCTTAGCTACCTGCAATCTTTACGTGTTTGTGACAACCGCATCTTAGACACCACTAACTTCCGTACTCTCACTGACCGCTTCATAAACGCGGAACGTGGCGAGTTACAAGCATCCTATTATCTATTCCAATGAGATTGAGCCGTTAAACAATCTTAAGGACAAAGAGCCAATCACAAAGCAACAAAGATGAATATCATGAGCTTCTAACCACCTTATATAAAGAATGAAAGACGTTGACAAATCTCTGCATGCGAAACTAGAGCACAGCTCTAGAGGAGCAGGAAGGGAGGCTTTTGCCCTCCTCCTCCGTACCCTGCACACCTCTACGGTGGAAAGCGCTGCAAAATACACGAGCGCCGAAGCCACCCCGCGAAAAACGGAATCTAAGGCCAGTAGTTATTCCTTAAATGCATTCAGTCGTGCATAATTTGCACAAAGTGGTACAGCGACACAATATTCCGGTAGTATTGTCTGCACCGAAAACTTTGGGGTGGCTACGCAGTACAACCAACAACACTCTTCCGATTGCATATCCGTGGCATACAAAGCACAAAGATAACTAGGTGGAATGTACGACCGGCGTAGTTTATGAAATAACCCTGACGTGTGGGTCGAGTTATGTCAATTCAATTCATTTTATTTACTCCCATAATACAAAATGGGCGACGGAGGCACGAGAAAAAGCTGCGGAATTGCAGCTTGACGAAGCCTCTGCCCTCTACAGGCAGATCGGTCAGCGGGATATAATTACATCATTTGATACAAAAAAAAGAACTTTTATGCACCACACCGAGAAGTATGTTATTAGGAGGACAATATTTCTCGCAATCCATTCTTATTTAAATTTTCAATGCAGACACCTTGTGTGTCTGCATTGTGCTGAATCATCTGAAGCCCGTAATTGGTTCTTGGACGTTGTACTGCCAAGGTTCCGGCGCTGCGCATATCGTATTCAATATTTTTGTTAGTTAATTTGTCAATTTACCGTAATGGATGATTAGGAAATTTAAGTGATACGATGTACATTGCTGCTAACTTATATTTAAAATATTTTTTTTTATTTTCATTATTTCATGTTTACAAAAAATATGTTGAGTATGTGAGCAATACGATGCATTAGTTACGATGCGAATCGCTTTTTTTCTGCAGCAAAAACGATATATTAACGTTAGTACATGTCGTAGTTCTCCAAACTACATGACAGTATGGTATACAAGGATTAAATAATTCATTGTAAATTAAAAGTTTTACACAAGCTGACAATATATAGCGATGCTTATATAGAATACCTACGATTCTCGAAAGTTTGAGAGTAAGATTTTGAGCATGCGAGTCCCATAACATATGTTAGTGAAAAATCACGCCTAATGTTTTAACAATAGTTACCAACTTAACCTCCTAGGAATTCATCATTAATTTTGCGGTGTCATTACACACTGTACCTTTCAGTTTGAAGATAATTGCATTTGTTTCACTTCCATTAATTATCAGAGAATTTTAAACAGTCCACCAACTAAGATTTTCAAGGCATATATTTGCATCGAAAATTAAACTATCAATGTCTTTTCCTGAAAAAAAGAAATATATATACGGGTATCATCTACATAAATGACAAACGAGGCCTTACTTGTGATAGTAACTATATAATTTATAAATAGGTTAAACAGCAATGGCCCCAAGAAACTATCTTGAGGTACTCCAGTCCGAACTGCTTTCAGCATTGAAGAATATTCGTTTATTTCAACAGTTCGATGCCGGAAACTCAAGTAGCTTTCTATAAGAGCCAGGGAATGCCCGCGAATTCCATAACAATATAACTTTGTAAAGGAACTTTATGACTCAGCCGATCAAAGGCTTTAGAAAAATCAATAAATATTCCTAAACTCAGACACATGTTTTCAAAATTGTTTAAGATAATTATTTTTTTGCTGTAAAAGAGCCAGGTCAGTAGAGCAATCTGGCAGATGCGTGAAAGACCGCACGTGAGAGCAAGCTGCGTCAAACAGGACGACATCGTCCGGACATTTTGCGGTTCACTGCAGCAGGTGCATTTGTGCACTGTCATTCCAGAACACTAAGATCCTAGCCAAATATAAAAGCAAAGTGTCGAGGGAATTACGCTAGGCGTTTGAGATTAAAAGTAGGGGGAGTGATTGCGTTATCAAAACTTCCTTAGCCCTTTCCACTGATAAATATGAGTTTTTGAAACGTGGGTTCGCCAAAGATGAGTGACGATTAGCATGCCTGTCGGACATATATGTGTGTGCTTTTCACATAAACTTCATTTGAGTGTGCGCCCTGTCCTGTTGTCTTTCTGTCTGTGCGTGTATTTTTAGGGGCGAAGCACCTTAGGGGCTAGCCATGTCCGTATGTCCGTCCGATGTCCGGCGTCAGGTGCTCCTGCTCACGAGCACGCGAGCACGTGCTCCCGTGCTCGTGTAGGGCAAAAAAAGAAACAACCGCATCTCCCCGTGGTGAATAATGTTGATTGGGCCGAAGCTCTGGTGGTGCTTGTCTGCGTAGACGGTGAGTCGCAGCATGCCAAGCCTTTCATTCGTTTTCATTCATGTCAGAAGGGAATGTGTAGTATGGAACGTGGTTATATACGCATTTGAGCATTTGACCGCTGCGTGACATGGATTAAAACGAACGAAAGGCTCGGCATGCTGCGGCTCTCCCTCTACGCAGACAAGCACCACCAGAGCTTCGCCCCAATCAACATCATTCACCACGTGGAGATGTGGTTGCTTTTGGCTCTTTTCCACCGGAGATATGTGCCAACTGGCCCATAAAAGTGCCTCCGCACCTCCTCTCCTTCTCCTCATCTCCTCCTCGTCCTCCTGCCCCCTTCGTCATTCTCCTTCCCTCCCTCTCCACCTCTCCTCCTCCTCGCCACCTGCCGCTGAATTTGTTCATGGATGACGGGACAGGAAGTCGTGACGTCATTTTCCCCGCTAAATTTAGTGGCTATACTGAATTGGTCTCGAAGTCACGTGGCATCAATTTCTCCGCTAACTTTAGCGGGAAAACTTAACCAGCTAAAGTTAACGGGAAAATTTCTCCGCTAAATTTAGACGGGAAATTTCCCGTTATATTTAGCCGAGCATTTCCGTGTTAAATTTATCGCAAAAATTTCCCCGCTAGATTCAGCGGGAAAGTTTTCCCTTTTACTTTAATCGGGAAGCGTCTTATAATGCAACGCGCACGGTTAAGCCGACGCCGATGCCACTCAACCCGGAAACGGGCGCGTAAAAGCTGCGCTCTCAAAATATATATATATATATTAGAGAGCATACTTAATATTCGTTTTTTTGCTTTGTAATTCTTCCTGTAACCGGAATTTAGATGGAGGTCACGGCCCACCCCACGCCCCTGTGACAAATCAGTAGCCCCGGCCATTAGCAATGGATTGCCTTGCCTGCTCGGCGGAACACGTTCGCAAGCCTAGTGTCTCCCTTTCGCGGCATCCGGTGCGTCTAGTCTGGCGTCTTGCACCGCCTGCTATCTTTTGTTCACCCTTAAGCTAAGACTAGAATCTCCGCCTTCAGCGCGAGCTCGCTGGCTTCCGTGGTACTTTCGTTGCGCGCGCCTGCGCGTTCACACTTGCGTTATAAAGGACAGAAAGATCGTGCTGAAGGCGGAGCTTCTAGACTCAGCTTAAAGGAGGACCAGCAGAAATATTCTTCCGCCTGGCGGAAAGTCCTCCTCGCCCTCTTTCTTTCTTGTATTGTAGCACGGCGAGGAGAGGGGAAAGGTCCCCTTTTGCGCCGGCTTCTGAGAGGATAAGCCGAGAAAATCCCCATTCTGAGCGA